TATAAATTTGCTATTTCACCCAATTTTATGAAGTACTATACCATACGGTAGGATCATTTTCAACCTTGTAGCAGATGTACGAAGAATCAGGGGACTAATGTAATTTGAAACATAGATAGTTTATTTTATATAGTTTATCCTTTTTTATGACATGAGACTTGTATATTTCTTATACCGGCACGGGTTTCTCGTATCTCGAAAGGTGACATTATGACGATTTTTTTGTTGACATTATGCGGTATTTTTTTTAACATTATGTAGGTTTTTCTACAAGATGTTAACTGAGCACTTAGTTGTACGTGTTGCCTAAACGTCATGAGGCTTGGTAATCAGTCTTTGGCTCTGATGTGATGTAAATCTGCTTCTGAGATGGCGTTACTCTCCTAAGCTGTAAGTTGTATGTGTTGATGATAATTACATTGGGTTCTTGTCTCAAATACACTTAATCGAGATTCAAAGCTAGAAATTAGTTGCCCAGCCACTTTTTCTTATACATTCTGGTAATTACATATTTATACAAATTTGCTGAATTTCAAAAGTGAGAGAGATCAGAAATAATTATATTCACGGTACACTGTAAAGTACAACTCATGCACATGCTAACAGTAATTACACACAACGCGGGCGCGGTGATGAGTTCCCGTAATTCTCCTCAGTTTTTCGTAACTTATAATTTTGAAGATAACCTCTCTTCAGAAAGCACAACTTATAAATAACCCGTCATATTCAGCATATTCAGTAATGATTTTCACACACAGCAAATATCACTGATTTTTTAAACATGTAGACCAATACACATAATCATCCAGATGCGATCTTGCTACTCAACCAACTTTCTTCTCAGTGATAAAAACTACACACACGGATTACTCAGCATCACAAAACTATGCAACCAATAATGCGTGTAGTTTAGTTGAGTGATTCCTCCATAGATGGACCTAAACAGCGATCCCAGTGAGCAAGCAAGGAATGACTGCTTGCGCCCTAAAAACTACCTAGTCTGAAAGTTGACATCTTATAGATTTTTTTGATGTTTTGTAGGTTTTTTACATGATACCGGTACGGAGCAGCCGCGCAGACAGAAGACTAAATGCAAGCGCACCGCGGCTGCTATGAGGGGCCTAAGGAAACTTTGTTATTCAGATTCTTAAACTGCCTAAGTAGTTTTTTAGTAGTGGATTGAAATTGAGGAGTGGAAAAATTTGGATGTGCATATTGAATGTAGTTTCTTGTACGTATTCTTAGCAAAGACTCAGTATGTTATAATGACGATAAAAAGGTGGTGTCATTAAAGTAAACAAAACTCCACATATGTAACCCGCGAAACAAAAGCAAATATTTACATTCGTAAATTTTCCGCGTTTTATGGGAAATATGTAAATTATAGATTTCACATCGCACGCAATCTTTTACAGCTCACTGATTCCTATATTAATTTAGGAACAGGATAAAAATTTGTTATTGTTTAACCATGTCATGTCGAAATGGAACTACTTACGCATACGTATGGAATAGATATATACTAAGTGACATATAAATCCGAACACCCAGTTTAAATGGTTTTATTTTAATAAAAGTTGGTGAATGTATTTATCTTACTGTAAATAACAAGTGAAAAAATTTTCAGCCTTATCAGTTGGACATCCCGGTTTTTATACTGCTTTTTTTTAATTCACAAACGCTCTAAAAATGAATATTTCAGCCGCAGTAAAGAATCAACGTTGGCGGATTTTGGTTCTTGACATCCTTTACTATTGGTTACGATGCCTAGAGTACGGAGACCTATACGATTTCGTGAACTTAGTGAGTTTGATAGGGGCCGTATAGTGGGACTTCGGGAAGCTGTACTTTCTTTTCGGGCAATTGCAGTTAGAGTGCAAAGAAGTGTAGACACTGTGGTTAGGTGTTGTCAGGCATGGCTTCGAGAAGGCCGTATGCAAAGAGCAAGGGGCACTGGACGCCGCCGTAGAACAACAGACCGCGAAGATCGTCGCCTAAGATTATTGGCCTTAAGGGACCGTTTCTCCACTACCAGGTCCATTGCAAATGAATGGTTTGCAGAACACGGAAGACCTATTGGCATGCGAAGTGTTTACCGACGAATGAGAAGTTTTGGCTTGTTTTCATACCGGCCACACTGGGTCCTCCCTTTAACTCGAGAACACCGACGTAATCGCCTTGAGTGGTGCAGACAACGGTCACTCTGGGATCAGGAATGGAACAGTATTGTCTTTAGTGACGAGTCTCGATTTTGTTTAGGCATGCACGATGGTCGTGCCATGGTTAGAAGGCGACGTGGTGAAAGGAGGAATCCACAGTTTTTTGTTGAAAGACATGTTCATCACACTGTTGGAGTTATGGTTTGGGTGCTATAGCTTATGGTTCTAGGTCACCTTTAATCTTCATCAGAGGTAACATGAACGCGCAGCGTTATATCCACGAAGTTCTAGAACCCCATCTTTTACCCTGGCAGATCCAACTTTCCAACAAGATAATGCCCGACCACATGTTGCAAGAGTCACCATAGACTTCTTTCAACATAATGATGTCACATTGTTACCATGGCCACCAAGATCTCCCGACTTATCCCCAATTGAGCACGTGTGGGATATGATGGGTAGGAGATTGCTCAATTTGCAACGTCCTCCTCAGACTCTAGAAGCACTTCGAGAGGAGTTGGTGGTTGCCTGGAATGAGATACCACAGGAGGACATTGACCACCTGATCAGAAGCATGCCTAGGCGCGTTGGAGAATGCGTAGCACATCAGGGTGCATCCACACATTATTAAAGGTCAAAGGGGTTTAAAGCAGTGCAATCATTTTGAAATTTTTATCATTTACTTATTATGCTTCATTAAGTACTTATACAAAATTTTATTAAAATAAAACCATCTAAACTGGGTGTTCGGATTTATATGTCACTTAGTATATTACGTATTTCAACTTCTATACCATTACTAATACTAAGCTAAGACATTCGCTGGCATCTACTAGCACTATCTTGTTATGGAGGAAAGAGGCATCTATAAACTTATCCGAGAAACCAAAAATTCTATCTCAGTACCTTTAGCGATTTTCCGACCTGCTTTACCAAATCTCACGCAGTTGGACAGGCAGCACCAAATCATCGTTTTTGATTTACACCTCCTTTAAATGACACTCGAGCTGTTTGTAGTATTGGCGATAGTGTAATGATATTCATTAATATGTTGCTTAGACTTGTGGTTCATGCATCTATTGGAACCTATTGGACGTCTTTCAAAACCTTTCCGATCCTTTACGTAAAAATGGCGTCATGTAGGTTGACTTTGTCACTGTACTATATATACCCTGACATAAGACCGTAGAGTATATATAGTACAATGAATATCAGTGAAAATAAACATTGTTTGATTTGGGTTTGAATAAGTATCTGAATAAACGGTGTTACTTTCTGGTAGGTCGGCCATGGAAACTCTTACAGCTGATCATGTATAATGAATCTGATATGAAAAAGTATTATATTGCCATGGTAGTCGTAATTGCTTCATTGGTAAGGCATCGCTGATCTCTTCTCGGCTGTTAAGGTGAAAAATCGTCGCGTGGGCATTCGCCCAAGAGCGAGCAACGGCTAATAGGCGTATAAAATTACTGGGATTAGAAGTTTATAAATATACTGCCAAAAATTGCGATACAGCCACCCAACCCCCCATTTTTTTCAAAAATCACCTAAGATATCAGAAAACAAAGTTTGAGTGATTTTTATTCTTTTTTTGTCCTTTTTTCCGCTGCTCCTAGATCAATTCTCAGAAATTACAAAGTTTTTTGGTTCTTGGCATGGCATAACCTTGTGTGAGCATTTCATCAAAATCCGAATGGTATTTCTTTCTTTTGAAAAAGGTACCTGGTCATGAATCACCCGTAATATCTTGTTTGGCAGATTTTGATTGACGTTACGTTCTAAACCATACTGCATACTTTGTACAGCGCTATTTATCAAATCCAACATTAGTATGCAAAATTAGTTGGAATGAGGAAGTGAGACCGAAATTATTAAAATAGATATTGTCAAATGGGTTAAATAAAATTATATCCATCAATATATACTTTCTAATTGTCGCTAATCAGAGTAATACGTGACCTGGCAAATAATACTCGACGATATCAGAGCGGTAAATAAATAGCAAGTAAACCACAGACCGCAGGTGTACTACAGTTACTATTTATCAGATATTTCGGATTATGTAACAGAGGTTTATTTTGTAAACGGCTTCAAGCGTATGTTTCAGACGTTCACAAGAGAATTTCAGCGGTAAGAACAACTATCGCTTTGCTACCCCAGTAATTGAAACTTCAATTCTATCACAAAAAACTTAAGTAGGTTGACTCTGCACTTACCACGCAACAACGTCATCAGTTCATAAAGGATTAAGTTCAGTACAAGTTAAACCCTCTGAGAAAAAGTTAGTTACGAGCATTTACAACAGAGACATCTAACGGATAATGTCAGACAAACAGACCCATATAATTAGTCCACGGACATTCTTTCTCTACCCTAGCGGTAGTACCGTATATCTGGCGACGTATCGTCTTCCCATATCTACACCAATGGCGCGACAGCGCCCACCACGGCACCGCTACAGTCAGCCAGAAGCAGGAGCAGCACGCACACCGAAGATATGTCTCTATCATAGTCCCACATGTTCCTCTGGCCGGATCAAACCACATATGACAAAAAAGTGTTGTCAATGAAGAGGAAATAATTTTAAGCATATTTAGTTAACATTCGTCCAGCAGCGGTGGCCGCAGTAGTAGATTCTTCGGTCTCCTGATCAGTCGCCGTGCGCTGTGCGGGTTCGAATCCCGTCCCAGGAGAAATATTTATCTTGGCGATGGATGTTGTGATTGCCCGTAGGTGGTAGACGGTCTCTGAGTGTCGAACCCGGAGGTACCACCCGGCGGATCTAATAGGCGGAGCCAGAATGTGTGCATGTTGCATGCACACGTGTTCCCTCGCCAGAGTCTGTGTGGCGTTCCCCCTTTCCCCTGTATCCCCCTATAGCCCCACGGTACCAATGGGTCTTTAGGCCTTAGGCCACAAGCTAAGTTTCATATGTTTCATCACTTAGTATTATAAGTGTTACAGGCAAATCTATGATGTGTGAAACATGGCTAATAGGTGTGTAGTACGTACTCGTATTACCGGGGTTGGGAGCGTATAAGTATATTACCACAAAAAAATTGAGATATACCCTCCGCTACCCGCTACAACCTCCAACCCCAATTTTAAACACATGTAAACTTTTTCTGGAAGTGATCAGGAGCCCCTGGAACGTCAAAAAGCGAAGTTCTATTTTTTCGTGTTTTTACACATAGCTGTTTCGTCCTTGGCGTAGTAGTAGTAACCTTGTGTGGTAATTTTATTACAATCTGAGCGGTACTTTCCAAGTTATAGAGGGGTTAAGGGTTAGTGGACAGCCAGACAGACCGACGAAAATGAGTGACAATTTTGAAATTTCGCGATTACAATATACTATCCCTAGTAGCGTAGGAAGTAAGAACCCAAAACTTTTGTTTCATTGTGAAAGAAACACAAGTATTACTTAGTAGGCTATTTAATATACTAAGTGACATATAAATCCGAACACCCAGTTTAAATGGTTTTATTTTAATAAAATTTTGTATAAGTACTTAATGAAGCATAATAAGTAAATGATAAAAATTTCAAAATGATTGCACTGCTTTAAAGCCCTTTGACCTTTAATAATGTGTGGATGCACCCTGGTGTGCTACGCATTCTCCAACGCGCCTAGGCATGCTTCTGATCAGGTGGTCAATGTCGTCCTGTGGTATCTCATTCCAGGCAACCACCAACTCCTTTCGAAGTGCTTCTAGAGTCTGAGGAGGACGTTGCAAATTGAGCAATCTCCTACCCATCATATCCCACACGTGCTCAATTGGGGATAAGTCGGGAGATCTTGGTGGCCATGGTAACAATTTGACATATGTTGAAAGAAGTCTATTGTGACTCTTGCAACATGTGGTCGGGCATTATATTGTTGGAAAGTTGGATCTGCCAGGGTGTCAAGATAGGGTAAAAGATGGGGTTCTAGAACTTCGTGGATATAACGCTGCGCGTTCATGTTACCTCTGATGTAGATTAAAGGTGACCTGGAACCATAAGCTATAGCACCCCAAACCATAACTCCAACAGTGTGATGAACATGTCTTTCAACAAAAAACTGTAAACTGTGGATTCCTCCTTTCACCACGTCGCCTTCTAACCCTGGCACGACCATCGTGCATGCCTAAGCAAAATCGAGACTCGTCACTAAAGACAATACTGTTCCATTCCTGATCCCAGAGTGACCGTTGTCTGCACCACTCAAGGCGATTACGTCGGTGTTCTCGAGTTAAAGGGAGGACCCAGTGTGGTCGGTATGAAAACAAGCCAAAACTTCTCATTCGTCGGTAAACACTTCGCATGCCAATAGGTCTTCCGTGTTCTGCAAACCATTCATTTGCAATGGACCTGGTAGTGGAGAAACGGTCCCTTAAGGCCAATAATCTTAGGCGGCGATCTTCACGGTCTGTTGTTCTACGGCGGCGTCCAGTGCCCCCTGCTCTTTGCGTACGGCCTTCTCTAAGCCATGCCTGACAACACCTTGTTATTGACAGTAAGATAAATACATTCACCAACTTTTATTAAAATAAAACCATTTAAACTGGGTGTTCGGATTTATATGTCACTTAGTATATAAACATAAGAATTGTGAAAATGAGAAGGTACACAGAAAACATGTAAAAAGCGTTTATCGTGTGCATACTGTTATGTAAAAAATTGCTTAGAAAATAAGTTTTAAAACCTACTTGTATATGGTTTGTTCGTACAGTAGTCGGTAACTTGTCGGTGACTGTGAAAATCAAAATCAGAGAGATGTTACCTGTTCGTACAGTTTCTGACTGTTTGCCGACAGCTAATCCGCTGTTCGTACAGAACCTTCTGACAGATCAGAAGACACCAGTCAACCAGTGACAGTGACAGGTATCAGATTGTCTCGAAAATATCCTGAGGACTAAAATTGCTTCGCCAAAGGCATCTTCTCTAATGAACGGTCTGGGGACACCCACGGGAACCGACGGGCTGTTGGCGATCTAGCTACGCCAACGGGCTGTGCTCCTCAGAGCTCTCTTCCACAGTGTCGCCACGCGATGTGCCTTCCTGACTTCGGACTCCTACCGTAACCGTGTCGAACTTCGTACATCTGGAACGGTCCGATAAGACCGCTCCTTTGTCCCGAGTGTAACAATCTTTAGGCAGTTCAAAAATAGGAATAACAAAGTTTCTTTAAGCTCCTCAAAGCAGCCGCGGTGCCCTGGTATGTAGCATTCACCTGCGCGGCTACTTGGGTGTAACAAAAACTGAGCGATATACCAAGAAGATGAAGACCTTGAAGATCTTCTGAGGAGGGAATGAAACCCAAAAACCGGAATTTTGTAGAGAAAACAGTGCCACAATTCAACAGAAACAAGTTCTTGTAACATTTTCGGGTGAGCAAGTGGCAGAAGAAATTTTAACGAAATTCAATTTTAAATATCAGCCAGCGCCAATTTGTTTTGTGCTCAATATTTTGTTTATGGATTCGGTAATGGCAAAATGAAGATTATGAATACAGTATGAAAAATCCGAACAATAGAGGACATAACTTTCAAGAACCATAATTAATACGATTTTTGTGATCACTAATCTTTTGAAAATTTTTGTTACAATTCTTCTGTGTATTTTCGTAGTCTCAGTTCTTTTTGTCCATGTTGGGAACTCTGTGAAACTTATAGCTATGTAAGCAGATCTTGATAATTGTAGTTATGTTCAGCTGTTTTAGCTTCTTAGTGTATAACACCCTTTATTATTCAAAGACGTTATTAAATCCTTGAAGTATTTTCTCTTCCCTCTTCTTGTGAGAGTTTGCATATACAGGGTGCTTCTAATTTGGCACTCACCATTGGGATCTGGGAAAATGTAAGGGATATGAAGTCGCTTAAATGGGGTAGTTAACAATATGGCACTTAGAAAGTTTCGAAATTCAAAGTACATACTTACGGAGAGCGACGGAAAGACTGAATTTTTCCAAAATCGTTTTAATTTTTTCTTGACTTTATTTATATTGGGATTTTAAAATAAATCACACACTAACGGTGCCACGTTTTCTCCTCTACAAGAAGGCATAATCAGAATTTCTACATGACGGTTCGTCTCTTGTCCTTAGCATCAACTTTATTATTTCTCAAGGACGCTATATTGCATTTTTGCACAGATGAATAGAGTTTTCAATTTTGATTCAAAAATGCATAATACGTCATACATTGACGTTGGCAAACCTTAGTTACTTAAAAAAAAACTGTAGGTAGGCCTTGAAATTATCAGATTTTTGTTTCGCTCACCAAATTTGTCCCAAAATCGCTCTATTTTTCCTGACTTTATTTAACATGGGTTTTCAAAATAAATTGGATATTGGCATTGTTACTTATTCTCGTCTACAAGATGGCGTAGTCAAATTTTCAATTCGACATTTCTTCTTTCGACTTCCGTCATCAATTTTGTTATTCATAGTGACACCATATTGGAATTTTGTACATTTAAATGAACATTTCAGCCCTAAATTCTGTGATGTATTTCGTTAGTTGACCATAAATTCATTGTGAGATGAAAATTATAAGGAAACGAAAAGATGTGGTGAAACCTGAATACGGAATGAAAATTTTATTGATGTAATAACAATAATTAGATACCATAAATAAGCAGAGGTCTTCACAGTCTTCCAAACTTTGTTGCTATGCAAACAAATGGAATCTGATAATCTCATGACCTACCTAGGAACTTCTGGAATAGCTAAGGTTTTGCAATGTCAATGTATGACATATACATTTTTGAAATCAGAATAAAAATTCTATTCATGTGTGTAAGAATCCAATATGGCGTCTATAAGAAAAAATTAAGTTGATGCTGGAGCACAAGAGACGTCAAGTTGAAATTATAATTGTGCCGCCTTGTAGAGGAGAAAATTGTGTCCGTGTTGATGTGCAATTTATTTTGAAATCCAACCATAAATAAAGTCAGTAGAGCATTAGAACCCTTTTGGAAAATTTCGTTTTATACGTTTCTTTCCGGAAGTTCCTTAAATTTCAAAACTTTCTAAGCGACATCTTGCTGATTATCTCAATACGCAACTTTGTCCCTATCTAAGCGACTTCGTATCCTGAGAGTTTCCGAAATCTCAATGGTGAGGGTCTTATTTAAAATACCCTGTATAGGGAAAATATTATTTTCACCCCAGCAGAAACAGCGGCCACTCAATCTCCGTGGGCACCCATGAAAAAAAGCTGTATCACAAAATCTCCAGAATTCGTTTTTTGTCTTTATCAGCTTTGGGTTGGACTTACATAGCTAGAATATACGAGTATAAATATTGTTTGTGCATACACTTCGCGGCTGGGCGACAAGGGAACAAAAACCCTACTATCTGAGTTTTATTAAAAGTCATTCACAATACTTTGTACATTTCTCATGCATAATCACTGCAGACGCTTATTCAGAATTCTTACTATGTATTTACTTCTTCAGCTTGTCATTCGATGTGTGGAATCATATTTCTTCGAATTTATGCCTATACCTTTTATATGAGAATTGAATATGGATTACTGAGTAAATCTACTTGACATTTTTGGGTGCTGTTATTTTTTCTAGAAAGTGTCCATGTTTTTATCTCTAGAGGAAAATTCGGGCACATTCGGACACTTGGACGAAAGATCCTAGATCATTCTGGTTTACAGCAAATGAACATACCCCAACTTTTCCAAAATTGTCTACTTCATTATGAAAAAAATTACATTCGAATATTGATTGTACTTGATTCCGAGCTCGCAAAATTTACTGGCAAATTATCTGCTGACTAATTTGACAGTCAGAAGTTTCTGTACGAACAGCGAATTTGATGTCGGTAATCGGTCTTGGCTCCCTCAGCCAACTCGTAAAGTTCTCAAGGACGCCATTTATAGTCAGCGACGTGTCAGTGACAGCTAACTGCGTAAACTATGTCATGACTTGTCGCCGACTATCAGTTTGCTGATTGTCAGCCAACAGGTTTTACGAACAAACCAATAGATCGGT